TCTAGAATCCATACAGACAGAAAGTAAATTAGCGGTTGCCAGGGGCCCCGGGGTGGGGAAAATGGAGAGTAACTGCTAATGGGTATGAGGTTTTTTTGGTGGGGTGATGAAATGTTCTGGAATGTTCTGGAATTAGATAGTGGTGATGGTTGCACAACCCTGCAAATAGCTAACAACCACTGAATTGTACACTTGAGTGTACAGGGAGAATTTGATGGTATTTGTATTATATCACAGTAAAGCTGTTATTTAAGAAAAAGCAATGAGCAAAAATGTGGGAGCCAAGAGGGCTTGCAAATGCAGAAGGAGGTGGTAGGAGATGGAGGGTCTCGGCATTTGGGGTAGGCCATTAGGGCTAGAGTAGAGAATATCAGTAACAATTATGTGGGAATGTGCATGTGTGTGCGGTGGTGGTAATGGTGGCAGTGTGTGTGTATGTGAATATACAAGGGATTTTTAAAAACATGGTATCTAATTTCCGGCTGTTTGTTGAATGCTTGCTCCAAATCATCAGCCAAGTGTGCACCATGCACAGCCTGGAATTGGTGGAACTTTGGGAGTGAAGGACTTGATCAGTGAACAGATAAAAGGAGAGTCACAAAGGAGGCAAAAGCAGATGGAAAATTTAGAGATCAGCAAAAGTCAGGTGTACTTAGCAGAATCTAAGCTCCCTAAGAATTCCTGAGGCTTTTGGTAGGGATCCTGGTATCCTACCTTAATGGGTACTTTTGATTAGATCTTAAGAGGCAAGGTGCACTCAGCAAGTTAAAAGAGGTGGGAAATGCTCAGGAGGCTGACATCTGGGCCGCCTGCATTCTTCATTTTCCAATGGATTCTCATTGCTCTTTGAATAAAACTCCTCCCGGTGGCCTAGAAAATCCTGAGTGGTCTGGCGCTTACCAGCTTTCCTGACTCATCTATTATCATGTTTCTCTTTCCTCCAATCACAATGCCCTTCTTGCTGGTCCTTCTGCAGGCCAGGCTAAATCCCCAGTGAAGAACCTGGAATGGTCCACCCCAAACATTTTCATGATCAACAAAAGGCTCATGGCTGGTTCCCCCTCACTCCTCAGGCCTAGCTCAAGGCTCACCACCTCAGCAGCCTTCCCTGACCACCTGACCCTCCCCATAACACCCTGCTTCATGTTCTTTGTAGCACTAATCACTAGCTCAAACTCTCTTGGCTATTGATTTGTTCAATGGCTTATCATGGGTCTTCTTTTGAAGGTAATCTCTGGGCCATGCAAACAGTAACTGGTTTAGATCTCTTCCTGTTCTGCAGCCCCAGAGTCCAGCTCGGTGCTCAGACTAGCACACAGGTGCTCCAGAAATACTTGTTCATGTCCTCCGTTCACTGGACAAATATTATTTGAGCACCTGCCATGTATAAGGTCCTACGTGCAAAGTCAAGCACAACAGCCCCAGACCCAGCCCTCCCAGCTCCCCTGGGTTGGTGGAAGACACAGCTAAGTCAGCAGTCTGCTGTGATGTAGGGGTGAGTGCTGTCACTGGGGAGGTACAGGGTGTGATGGGGGCTCCTAGTCCAGACCGTGGGTGGGGGAGGGGGTATCCGTGAAGGCCTCTGGAGAGAATGAAAGCTGAGACATGAGGCTAAATAAGAGTTGACCAGGGGTAAGTAGGGAGAGGGTGACGTGTATTCCAGGCAGAGAGAACAGCATGTGCAGAGGCCCGGTGGGAAGAAAGCCCAGACACTAGAGGAATTGAAAGTAGTTCAGCCTGGCAAGAGCCTGGCAGCAAGTGGTAAGGGATGATGTCGAACACAAGTAGAACCAGGCCGTTGCAGGACCTTGTAGACTGAGCTAGGTTGCTGAGGAAGACACTGGGGAGCCATGGAAGGGGTTTAAGCAGCGGAGTGGCACAATCAGATTTGTCAACATTAGACAGTTCACTGCTCTTGTGGTATGGGGAATGGACTGGAGACAGTGAGGCAGTGAAGAGGCCGTGAAAGAAATGTAAGAGAAGAAACGGTTAAGAGAAACGAACATATTCCAGCAGTGTTTGGGAGATAGAATCAGTAGACTTTAATGACTGATTAGTTTTTCAAGGGTGGGGACTGTTGGGGATAACACCCAGATTTCCAGCTTAAGCTAGTGCTTGGTAGTGTTACTTCCTAAACAGGGAAACCCAGGTTTAGGTGTAGGTGATAAAGTTCTAAGTGTCACAGGTTGAGTTTCAGGAGAGCACAGGGCGCTCAAGTCAGCATTTGGATTATTCTGTGAGTTTCTCAAGGGCAAAAGCCCTTACTTATCTGCGTGTTCCCAAACCCAGTAGGCTCTGGCCCACAGAACACCAAAGTGTACACAGAACCACGGAAAACAGACAGCAGAACAGCTTTGGTAACTGTCTGGAAAACAGGTTTCAGGTAGACACCACAGGACAGAGAAAAATTTAGGAGCCTCAGTGTCTCACTCAGGATGGGCTAGGTTACGCTGCTATGATAAACCACCCCCAAACTCAGATTTCTCACTCACTCTACCTGCCCATCTTGAGTCAATGGAAGCTTTTCTCCAGGTGGGGACCCAGACTGATGGAGCCTCCACCACCTGGAATGTCACTGGTCACCTTGAAGGAAAGGAACTTGGCAGATAGTGCTTGGGTCCTTGAAGGCTTCTGCCTGAGGGGGATACTTGCACTCACATTTCATCAGCCAAAGCGTGTCAACATGCCATGCCTCACTTCAAGAGGACCGGGAAGTACAAATCTACCACATGCCAGGAAGGGGAAGAACTGGACATGTTGGTGCCCAGTAATGGGCATCAAGAATCTTAACTTCTGGTCCTGAGTCTCCTCTGCGAACTTGTACAAGTCATTTCCCCGCTCTGAGCCTCAGTTGTCCCTGTCTGTAAAAAGGGATCCTAATACTTCCCTTTAGTTGAGCATTGATGAAAGCACTTTGTTGAGATGGGGAAGGGGAGTCCAGGGGTGGGAAGCCGTGACACATCTCAAGACAATGGAGAGGCACACTCGAGTGTGGGTGTGGCTGGAGTGGCAATGACCACAGGCTAAGCAGAATCTGAGTGTGCTGCACTGAGGTCTAGGGGCTGAGGGCAGCTACAGCATCCCTGTCCCTCTGCCCCGACTCCCTGAATTCTTAAGCATTTTCATTCCTTTCACTCCTCCAGCCCTCATCCCTCTAATGACACAGTGGGTCACAGAGAGCTCCCTGACAAATGGAGACAAAACCAATACTGCCAAGAGCTGATGGAGTTTGGAGCTTAAGCATCTACCTCACTCTTTGGCTGGCAGCCAGGACTTGGGTTTGGAGCCTGTGGGAGGCAGAATAATTCCCGCCCCCGCCCCCCCTGCCCCCCCCCAAGAGGTCAAGTCCTAATCCCTGGAGCTGGTGAAAATGCTCCTTTACGTAGCTAAAAAGATTTTGCAGACACGGTTAAATTAAGGACCTTGAGACGGGGAGATTATCCTGGATTATCCAGGTGGGCCTTCTGAGGATGGAAGAGGGAGGCAGAAGAATCAGAAAAAGAGATGAGATGATGGACGCTGGGGTCAGAGTGATGCAATGCTGGCTGGAAGGAGGTTGTGAGCAGGCAGGGAATGCAGGCAGCCTCTAGAAGCTGGACAAGGTAAGGAAAAGGATTCCCCACTGGATCCTCTAGAAAGAATATTGCCCTGCCAACACCTCGAATTGAGCCCAGGGAAACCCATTTCAGACTCGTGACCTCATGAACTGTAAGATAATAAATTTGTTGCTTTAAACCACTAAATTTATAGTAATTTGTTACGGCAGGGATAGGAAACTCACACAGCCTGCAGGCTGATGTGGAGGGCGGGGGTTTGACGTCAGACAGTTGCTACTGGCAAGTCAGCCACTGGGGGCGGGGCTGAGAGAGGCTGGCGGGATCCCTCATTTCCCTCTAGCCCTGGGGCACTGGGTGAGGCACCTCAAGAGCAGCCCCTGGGGAAGCCCCGATGCTGCTTTACTCTGCTACATCATCCTTTCTGCCTCCTCTCAATGTTTTCTCTTCTAATGACTCTTGCTATGTGCCTTTGAGCAGACCCCTTCCTTTAGGAGTCTGTGTATGTAAAAGGAAAACGGGGATGAGCTAGGGGACCCTTTAGGGGCCTTCCTGGCCTGACACTGTGAGTCAGCATTTCCAGGATGTGATGGGCCTGCTGAAAGCTCTCTGATGATGCTCTTGAACTGCCCTCCACCCCAGGCAGGTTTCCTCCAGAGAGTCCTAACCAGAGTCTTCCCTGCTGCCTCAAACAATGCACTTATGCCCAAACATTGACCTCGGTTAAAAGACGGGGGGACAATGCTTTATTGACTTGGCACCTATGAACAGGTGGCTACAGGCCCCCAGGGTTCTTTGCTTCTGCAAAGTGGAGGCTCTGTGGTGGGAGCAGCATAAATCGAGTTGCTGGTTCCAGCTGCAGGGAGGGGCCACTGTCCCTGCTTTGGCCCCTCCAGTCCCCTTGTCCAGCCAAGCACCATCTGAGTCCAGGCCCTCACAGAGCAGGCCAGGGCAACGACCCAGGTCCTTCTGCAGCCCCAGACCAGTCTAAGATAAGAGCTGTAGGCCTCTCCTGCCTTCCCCTCTTCTTGAGGATCCCAAGATGGGTGGGGGGGAAAGGAGATACCCCATTTACAGGGAGCACCTGAACCTCCTGGACCAGGGTTAAGGAAGGCTGGGTTAAGGGTATTGTAACAGGAGTCCCACCAAAGAGGAAAGTTAGGAGTTCTCCCCTTCCCACCAGTTTCTGTTTTAGCTGAGCAGAAAGTAGGAGTTTTCATTGAACTGGGCCCACAGTAGGTGATGACAGGTGAGGTCACACACTAAGTTGATGGGATAGAGCCAGGCTCCCTCAGGCAGGACTACACCATCTGGGCAGGCTCTCTCCCAGGCAAGGCGAGGGAAGGGCAGAGTGAACTGCAGTTGTCACAGGAGGAGGACTTCCTGAAGGAAGAGGGGCAGGCCACAGTAGGCTCCCAGAAGAAGTGGTCTGCAGAGTGGGCTGGGTCACGATGGCTGGCACAGGACACTGGCATCCTCACTGTGGTCACAGTTGTGGGCATCCCAGCGGATGTGAGAGCAGAGCAGCAGGGCACTCTCGTCCCCACGGCACTTGACATTGTCCAGGAGGATAGGGCCTCGGCCTGGGCCAAAGTGGGCCTCACCAGGGGCTGCCAGGGCCTGGCCACAGCCCAGCTGGAGACACAGGACGCCGGCTGCCCGCATGTCCCAAGCATCATCGCACACAGTGCCCCATTGCTGCCCTAGGAAGAGCTCTACACGGCCCTCGCATCGGTGGGCTCCATTCGCCAGACGTAAGTGCCCTGTGGGGAGACAAGGTCTGGGGCTGGAAGGGGCTGGCCCAGGCCAGGCCACTCCCAAGCTAGGCCAGGTAAGGGGTAGTTAGAGGAGGCAAAGGGTGGTGATTTGGGACACAGCAGTGTCCTGGGAACCACTGGACGAAGGCAGACAAATGAGATTAAAATAAGATGGGCATCAGTCCAGACTGCATCTCAAGATCAGAAGAATGTGCACAAGCCTTTGTGGGGCGCTCTTTGCATGCTGGGAGCTTCATGTCTGCTCTCTCCTTAGTTCTTTGTTCACAATCCCAATACCTCAGACCCAGGGCTGCTCTCTATCATTATCGTCTCCCCTCCTCCCTGGACTCCCCAGACTAAAGTCTGAATTCTTTCATTGCTCTCCTGAGGACAGGAGCCCATCCCTTTATTTTGGTCCCAACTCTAGAAATCTCTAGATGACTCTAGCTTAAAACCCACCTCCCTCTTTCTGGACATCATGCCTCTATTAATGAGGCCTGAGACTCTTGCAGAAGGACAAAGGCTCCAGGACCTGGTGCAAATCTGCTGTGTAACCCGGGGCTGTGACCTCCTTCCAAATCTGGTCCTTCGTATCCTGATGCCTCCACTTCACTCTTAGGGACGGTGGACACCTACCGTCCCTGGGCCGAGGAGTGGGCACCTGGGTGGTCTCAGCACCATCCTGCTGGACTAGCTCCTCTGGGCCTGGCTCAGCAAGGACAAAGAAACAGGTGGCTGTCACATTGGCGAACAAATCCCTTGAGGCCAGGTCACCTCTTACCCTCCAAGGGAGGACTGATTTAGGGTCAGAAAGGACTTCATAGGTCCCTGCTCCTTGGTACAGAAACGTGGGTTGTGCTTCTTTCACCCTGGGGCCCAAAGCAGAACCCTTTGTGGCCAAGGCTACCAGGATACCAAACCAGGGCGAAAATAACAATTCCCAAAGCAATCAATAAAGAGACGCATTTTTAAATGTGTCAGACTCTGCAAACACCCCTTTTCCATTGACTCCCACCAAGGGTCAAACGCTTGCTCCCCGAAAGCTGATCAACTCTCCCTGCTAACTAGAGTTTTTTGGGTCCCTGACGCAGCAGGACAAAACCTCCCCAGCCACCTCTGTCTGTTACAGGTTTTGCCACACTTTACCACAAGACTTCAGCCTCTCACCTCGGGCCCCGCCCCTCACTGCCGCAGAGGGCTCTCCCTTCCGGCCCCGCTCATGCCGCGCAGCCGCAGAGCGCGCCGATGGTGGGCTCCGCCTCTGTCTGCGGAGCGTGAGTCCTCTCTCCCGCTGCGCTCACGCCGTAATGCCTCGGCGAGCTCTGACGCTCGGCCCCGCCCATTTCCCAACAGACCCCGCCCCTCCCGCGCCGCAGAGCGTGCCTGCGCGAGGCCCCGCCCATTCCCCAGAGCCTGCCTCATCCCGCCCGCGCCGCAGTACGCGCCTGCGCCGGTCCCGCCCATCTCACAGCAGGCCCCGCCCGTGTCGCAGTAAGCGCCTGCGCGCGGCACACCGCCACCCCCTGCCATTCCTCAGATGGCGCTGTGCTCTGCCCGTGCCGCCGTGCATACGTGGTCCTAAAGCGGCCTCACCTGAGCAGAGCGCGCCCGCATCCTCGTGGTGGCCGCAGTTGTGCTGGCCCCAGCCCAGGTGGAAGCAGTCGCTCAGGCGGGCCTCCGTGCCGGCGCAACCCACGTTGTCCAGCAGCACGGGGCCGCGGCCGTAGCCGAAGTGGCCGAGGCCCGTGGCACCCAGCGCCGGCCCGCAGCCCGCCTCGCGGCAGGCCACGCGCGCGTCCGCGAAGTCCCAGTCATCGTCGCACACGGTGCCCCAGACCCCGGCGTATAGCACCTCCACGCGGCCGCGGCACGGGCTCGGGCCGCCCACCAGCCGCAGCCGCCCGCCTGCGGGGCGCACAGGCCCGCGGCCAGAGGGGCTGGGCTGGGGCCATCGGCTCCCGGGCAGAGCTCCGGCCCCACCCTCTTCCACCCCCAACGGAACCCCGGCCCTGCCACTTACTTTTCTTCCCCGCCGCCCAGGCCGCTGTGGTGAACAGTGCCGGCTCCCTGGAAGGCAGGGCACCAACTCCTGTAGCTGCAGAGACAGGGTATCTAGAGCATTTGAAGGGGACAAAGAGGGCTTCTGGCCTGCAGCAGGGCACAGGGCATGTCTACTGAGATGCCCCAACTCTTACCACACCTGCACCCCACTCAGCCTCAATCCTAGAGTCACCATGTTGTATGCTGTGGTGGGGTCCTCAAGAAGCTTGAAGGGAATAAACCAAATCCTACTTCCAGGCATTATCCTAATTTCAATTCCAATGATAGGTCCAGCCCTAATTCTACCCTTCATTCAAGTTATATCTCACTTCTCACAAGGCCTCTCAATTTCCAACCTCAGCCCCAACCCAAGTTTTATTTCAGAGCTTTGAGAAAGTGCCTCCTCCCACCCTGCTG